AGATACTACAAATTTTTCACCTATTTGATAATTATGCAATATCCACTTACGGAGATGGCAGGTCCCAAGTTTGTTCGCTTAAAAAAAAAAATGTCAGTTATACAAACTGTGCCTGAACTTAGACAATAAATTAGGCTACAAAAGATTTATATTTGAATGCTTTTATTACCTCTCTTTTCAGTATATCAGATAATTCTATGCAGATTTTTATAGGCATAGTTAGTAAAGCCTAAACTATCTACTCACTTTGACTGTGTTTGTAACACACGTAATCTAGAGCTATCCATAGGTATCCATTCGTCAAATCTTGAACTCCATTTGTCAAAATGTATTAAAACTTCTCTTTCATCCCAATCAGTTTCAACAACTTTAGCAGAATACCTGCAATATAAGTGTGTATAACAATTGTTTTTAATATTTACTAAAAGTATAATACATTACAAAATAATGCAGCAACACTTACCATTTATCATTGAAATCTTTTGCTTCCAATTTGGCTCCAGGAAAAAATTTTAGTCCATCCCGACTTAATACTTTTGTTTTTAATTCTTCTGGTTTATCAAATGTTTTATCATCATCTATTTTAATATTTTTCAGCTCTTCCTTAATAATTAAGTCTTTCTGGATATTTTTTATTGTCACATCTGATTCTACAATACCTAATTGCGCAGCCATGGTATTTACTTCCAGTTCTAAATTCTCATTGATTTCTTGTTTTATAGGAGACATAATTTCACTTTTTACAGGTAACGTTTTAAATCCATTATCAATTACGTCCGCTGAATCTGTCATATTAATGGAATCAGCTGATGATTCTGGTCTAGATGAACATGTTTCTCCACAGCTGTCAGATTTTGGTGTTCTTGCTTCAGATAATAATGGCGAAATAGATTGTTCCAAATTTAATATTTCAGAATTAATGAGATCCAAATCCTCTTGTGCGTAAGAAGTTGATGATTTTACAGACATAATTGCAGGATCTATAAAAAAAAATTTTAATGCTATATAATCAAAAAATTCAAATAATTATAATAATTAAGACATTTTAAACATATTACTTAATACTATTAATCATTTTTTGTCAGTAATAATAACATTCTCAATGAATATATTCTTCTGATAGTAAATATTACATTTAATTATATTTAATTAATGTCCAATGAATACAAATAAACTAGAACAAATCATATTAGCTATACCAATTTGCTTAGATACGTAGAGATATCAAATCACTTACAATAAACTAAAGAATTTTATAGACNAGGATCTATAAAAAAGAATTTTAATGCTATATAATCAAAAAATTCAAATAATTATAATAATTAAGACATTTTAAACATATTACTTAATACTATTAATCATTTTTTGTCAGTAATAATAACATTCTCAATGAATATATTCTTCTGATAGTAAATATTACATTTAATTATATTTAATTAATGTCCAATGAATACAAATAAACTAGAACAAATCATATTAGCTATACCAATTTGCTTAGATACGTAGAGATATCAAATCACTTACAATAAACTAAAGAATTTTATAGACCATTTTGGAGAATAGTCGATAACTTAAATTGAAATGTTAAAACAGTAAGCAAGTGAATAGTTTGCAATGACAATATGTACAAATACTAAAATATTAGGTACATAACATTTCAAAAATAGTTTTTAACATCAACACGAACTCTTTAGTATGGTACGTTTAAAAATACCGCGTATAAATGGAACTCTGTGTACAAAACCAAATAGAAAAATCGAATAGCAAAGACAGAATAGATGCAAAGAAAGCAAAAGGTATTCTGCACAAGATATACAAGATAGTCAACTATACTTTTCACGCTTGACACGCCGCTTCCTGTTTCGAAAAATAAGAAGCAACAAATTGACGATACTACACTGTTCATACCTGGATGATTATCATAATCTGTAAAAACTGATGGCACACTGCCTTTTCGTAGAAGCAATTTGTGTCCCTTGGCGGCTTCGTAATCGGCACGTTTAAAATGTCTGTGGCAGACAATTTGACCCGGCGAAGGTTTAAAACTTGCATCGAATCCACCACTGGCCAACCACCTGCTCCTCAGGCCAATATCCTTCGGGAATTTATGAAGTGGAAACCCTTTAGCACGAGCTTCTTGCACATCAGCTTCACAGCTACGCACGCAACATTTGCGCGCCATTCTCATCGCCCCCACAGGCGGTATTCCTTTACCACGCGACCGCGTTATACGCCGCCGCTTCATTTACACCGGTACTACATAGCAACGTATCGCAAGGAAACATTTGCCGAGCTAGTCGTCGTAAGAATAAATTGGGCCCACAATACGAGCAATTAGACGCTCGGTTGCCTTGACACGCACTTTTCTCGCTTCTAAGAAACTCGAATGCTTGGTCAACCCGTAACGTTCTCGAGACCACTGGAATCACTAGCACAACTGCGTACACCGCACTGATCGATTCACAAAATTCAAGTAACGTCGACTCGCATGTACATTCGATGTCACTGCGAGAAATCGAGTATGTACGCGTATAAGTTGCTCGTTGTTCTGTATGTAACTTCTCGAAGAGTGGCGCCCCCTTCTTATATTCATAAAAACAGACCCATAACTGGCTAACCTCCGTAGCGTCATAGAGATTTTCTTTATTCCGATTGGCTGATGATTCAATACTAAGACAGTATTCACTGCGGATTGGATGCGCAGTAAAATGCTGGGGCTGCTTACGAAAGTTAAGGTAGAAAAGTCGTGCAAAACCTGTAACATTATTTCGCCCTCTTTAACGGCGCACTGAGTTGCGTGGCGCCGCGGAAAGATTACCGTAGCAATACTGAACTACATATGTCGTGTATATTTTATATAGTTAAATACGTGTCTATTATTAATGACAAAGAGTAGGACGTAAAATGTACAGATATGTATATAAAACAGTTTCGTAATTTATTGTGATTTTATCGTCACACATATGAATTATCTTTATAGTACCATTTCAATCGTCATCTACAGGGTTGCCTAAAATTATTGTAAACTCTTGAAAACGGTGATTCTTGAAGCGATTTGAAGCAACTTTTTCCGTGGCGAAAATGTTGATTGTAGCTTGCAGCTTTATTAATGAGTCATTAACGAAAAACACGAACCAATCAGAAAGCGAGTCGGTTTATAACTTCGACGCGTTACGGGCTACACTTAGCATAGTGTTGGCTTCTTACCGAGCTCGAAGCTTGTACAAGTCAGCATACGTGAAGCTGTTTTCCTATATTATGCAGATACAAATAATTCGGTATTCCAACAGAATCCGAAATATGTATCACAAACTGTGTCAGCCCACTAATTCCGAACAATTGATCACGAACAGCATAACGATGCTTAACTCGCAAGCAAAGGACCTTCAAGGGACCGTCAAGGGTAACTTGCCTTTAAGTCCTTTGTCTTTCGATACTATCATATATTTACGATAGGCTATGCAGTTCGTATCCCATTGGTCAGTGCACCGACCTCTTGATATACATGGTGAATTTTCTTTTAATTTCGTATTAATTGCTGACTTGTACAAACCTTAAGCCCGGTACGTAGCTAACACTACACTAGTTGTAGCGCAACATTGCATCAGGCCACGGAGGTCATTGCAGGCCTTATTATACACCTTGTATAAGTGCCATTTTAGGATCGTACCATAATTATACATTATTTCGAAACAATGCAATTAATACTAAAGTAAATATATCACGATCTGTATTTAATTTAAAAATTTAATAAATTTATGATATACACAATTTTTTATACATATGACAAATATAAATTTCTCGATTTGTCCAATAAGAAACGTTACCGTTGCGTGTATTACGCCTGCTATTTCGTTACAGTGTAAACGCCCCTTTCTGCTATACGTCCATACATATCACGTGGTTTCCGTTTGATTCGATCCCTTTTCCTTTTCGCTGGATCAAGTAAAGTTGGGTGCTTGTTCTCTCTTGTGGAGCTAAGGCTGTATCAGCGACTTGCACCATTATTAACTCTCATCCAGTTTTAATAAAAGACATTTAAACAGCAAATATGTCTACCAAAGTCGACCTTGCTTGCGTTTATTCCGCATTAATACTTGTCGATGATGACGTCGCTGTAACTGTAAGTATCTCACATGTATTGCTTTACGCGGCAACGTGCCATGTTAAATATGCTATTTTTTTATCATAATTGCTTGTAATGTTAAATACATTACAAAAACAGATCAACAAATCTTCAAACATGTTGGTTTTAACGATGAGTGCTTTATCATTTATTCATTTTTTGTTTAGGGTGAAAAAATTCAAACTGTACTGAAAGCTGCTAATGTTGATGTTGACTCATATTGGCCCGGTCTTTTTGCTAAAGCACTGGAAGGTGTTAATGTCAAAGAAATGTTAGCAAATGTTGGATCCGGTGTTGGAGCAGCACCAGCAGCAGGTATTATTTTAGTACTCATTGTATATTAAACTTCTAAAGATTACTGTGATTAACAATATTAACACGTAGGCAATTAAATGTTATTTAACACGTTCCGTGCCACGTGTACCATCGATGGTACACGCTTGCATGTTTACTTAGTGAACTGAACAAATTGTTTACAAGAAATTTAGAACCGAAGAATCAATTTCCACCGCAAGAATGGGCGTTGATAAGTTTTTGTTACGTTGTTATGTGTACGAGAATTAATAATTGCACGTAATACATCAAGTTTTAGTAAAATATCAAAGTGTGAAGATTCGAGTAAAAAAAGCTCGACACGGAACGTGTTAATTACCATTTAAAACATAATCTGCCTTTTTATTGTATACAAATATATTATAACATTAATTTCGATAGAGATTTGTTATTAATAATTATTATTTTCTGTATCTGTTTTGTATAATCATCTTGTTAAATGTCTCCAGGAAAAATATCTGGTATTAATAATTTAGTATATGTATTAAAGTATACTATATAATGTGATTAATATTCCTCTTCATCCACCGGTCTAAAAATATTTGTTAGAACGGTCAGTAACAGAGGAGACAGTAAAGAGTCTAAAAGAATTTTATCGATCATATTTATAAATATGATCTAAATTTTTTTAAACAACAATATTCATACAAATATTTTTGTAGTGATCACATAGTTTGATAAATATCAAGAAAGTATTAAATATAGATATGATATTAGATTACAAAGTTTTCTTAACTAGAAGTTTGCAATTAAAATTTTGTACTTCATAGCTCCAGTTGGTGCCGCTGCCCCTGCTGCTGCTGAAGCTGCACCAGCTAAGGAGGAAAAGAAGAAGGAGGAACCAGAAGAAGAATCCGATGATGACATGGGCTTTGGTAAGCATTATATTTATAATTTACTTGATATAATATCAAATATAATAAAAAAAAATTATTTCACATTCAATGATTATTATATAATGTATTAGCTTCTGCAATAATTTGATGATATTTAAGAATGAGACTATTATTATAAAAACACATGTAATTTTTATGCTAAAAATGAGCATCTAATCTAATTCCTATACACACTTTCTTTTACAGGTCTATTTGACTAAACTCAAGGATCGCAATTTGTTGGTCCAT